ATATATATGTTTGCCACAACCTACTAGTTCTCATCAGTGAGACATCTGAAAGACCAGTGAAGCTGAGAATCAATGGATTTTGCAGTCTTGATAGAGGAGCTAATCTGACTTCCTAATGGTCATATCTGGTGAAGAAATACATGATAACAAATATGATAAAGATTTCATAACTAAGAAGTCCTCCCAAAACTAAATGCTTGTTCTCCATAACTACCCCCATTTCTTTGCTCACATGACATTTTCTCATTTTTAACTTGTTAATTTCTTGTCATGTGGCTATATCTATGCCTGTAATTATTGACTAGACCTCTGACAGTCTACCTCCTACCTGCCAGAAAATGGAGTTTGGAAATAATTCATGAATATATATAGTCTATTTCTGTCTGGTTTCTTCAGTGAATATGTGTATTTCCTCCCAAAGCCTGAGAGGATCAAGTATACTTCGTACCTTAGTGTCAGATGCTGTTATTCAAATCAACCTGCTTAAGGAATCTGCTTTTAACATTTCTTACATGGTCATTGATGGGGAGTTTCATGGGCAGCCTTAATAACATTAAGCTACAGAACTTGGATATGCTGATCGAAATTGATACTGATGAAGTGAAGCTACCAAAAAGTGGGAGAGGTACAGCAGCTCTTGATGGGGGAGCTACCCAGAGGAAGACTGTGTGTCTCAAGAAACAGTGGCTCCCACTCTCACCACTTCCCTAGTGGGTTGTAGAAGAAATGGTCTACCTAGATGGGGAGTGTACATGATGGCTTCACAGTAGGCACCCCCAAATCCCTGGTGTGTTGAGATGGGCAAGCTCCTTGACTGTCTGTCCTCTGCTGTGTCAGAAATATCTCTGTCTTCTGAATGGCACTCAATTTTAGTGCTCATAGATCAGTTTTACATTAAAATGTGATTTTTGAAATCTTTGTTCTTTAATAAGAGATGTGAATACTGGGCCTCCCTGGTGACTTAGGTGGGGGTAAGTCTCAGCATATGAAGCTATTCACAGCCACTGTGGGTCAGCCAGAGAGCTGACCCACATGGTGCAGCAGACCTCTCCTGTCTCACCCTCTGCTCCCCTCAGCGGTGTATTTCAGTACATCTGCCTGTTCTGCTCCCTACTTTGTCTCTGCTGAATACGCTCACCCTCCAGCACCCCTGGCCTGTACCCCAGTTCTTATAAATAAATAAATCTTTAAAAAAAAACATTTTTTTAAAACAAGCTGTACTGGAATTTAATTATCAGTGGGAGAAGCGATCACTTCAGCTGAAATCTATATAATTTAGAAAGTCTTTTCTTCTACAGTTAGTAATGTGGCTATTGATGGTTAAAAATTGTTTAGCATCTACTGAAGTGTTTAACCTGTTTTGCAGTCATGCTTATTTCTGCTAGCACAGTTTAGAAAACATCTGTTTGGATGCCTTAGGAATGACTTGTAGAATTTTTCCCCTTTTAGAAAAGATCTCATAATTATAAAGAAAGCAACCAAAAAAAAGTTCTTGAGGAAATTTAGTATATATTCTAACTTAGACCTCTTCCTCTTGCATTGAGTGCATGCATGTTTTTGTTTAGCTTGTTGTTTCTTATTTGGTCATTCTTTTGGGATCTTTGAAGATGTTGGAGAAAATTCTGAAGGTTGCTATAAAAAAGACTGTCTCAGATGCTTGTATCAGTCTACAATTGGGCCTAGTATCTACTCAAAGTATGCATGTAAATGCTGTGTTGCCTGAAGGCTGAATGGTTAAGAGCTTGATACAGGCAATGATACAGTGTGACTTTAAAGTAAGAGCCAACTTGCACACTGATAATCACTACCAAATTTTAGTTACCTGGTGAAACTAAGAAAATGACCTTCTGGTCTTTGCTTCTCTGTGGGCAGAAACCAGACTGATTGTGGAAGTCCCTTTGGTGTTCCATGTGTCCAGCCTCAAGAGATGCTTGAAGAGGCAACTGTCAAATATATTGTCTATTGTCACTGTTACTTTTGCTGTTGCTCAGTCTCATGAGAAGGTAGTATTTGGCATAATCCCTCAATTTGTTG